GTGTTTTGAGACGTCTCAAAACACGCTTTGTACCCCCCCTGCGATCCACCATACATCGTGTTTTGAGACGTCTCAAAACACGCTTTGTACCCCCCCTGCGATCCACCATGCATCGTGTTTTGAGACGTCTCAAAACACGCTTTGTACCCCCCCTGCGATCCACCATGCATCGTGTTTTGAGACGTCTCAAAACACGCTTTGTACCCCCCCTGCGATCCACCATGCATCGTGTTTTGAGACGTCTCAAAACACGCTTTGTACCCCCCCTGCGATCCACCATGCATCGTGTTTTGAGACGTCTCAAAACACGCTTTGTACCCCCCCTGCGATCCACCATGCATCGTGTGTTGAGACGTCTCAAAACACGCTTTGTACCCCCCCTGCGATCCACCATGCATCGTGTTTTGAGACGTCTCAAAACACGCTTTGTAACCCCCCTGCGATCCACCATGCATCGTGTTTTGAGACGTCTCAAAACACGCTTTGTACCCCCCCTGCGATCCACCATGCATCGTGTTTTGAGACGTCTCAAAACACGCTTTGTACCCCCCCTGCGATCCACCATGCATCGTGTTTTGAGACGTCTCAAAACACGCTTTGTACCCCCCCTGCGATCCACCATGCATCGTGTTTTGAGACGTCTCAAAACACGCTTTGTACCCCCCCTGCGATCCACCATGCATCGTGTTTTGAGACGTCTCAAAACACGCTTTGTACCCCCCCTGCGATCCACCATGCATCGTGTTTTGAGACGTCTCAAAACACGCTTTGTACCCCCCCTGCGATCCACCATGCATCGTGTTTTGAGACGTCTCAAAACACGCTTTGTACCCCCCCTGCGATCCACCATGCATCGTGTTTTGAGACGTCTCAAAAAACGCTTTGTAACCCCCCTGCGATCCACCATGCATCGTGTTTTGAGACGTCTCAAAACACGCTTTGTACCCCCCCTGCGATCCACCATGCATCGTGTTTTGAGACGTCTCAAAACACGCTTTGTACCCCCCCTGCGATCCACCATGCATCGTGTGTTGAGACGTCTCAAAACACGCTTTGTACCCCCCCTGCGATCCACCATGCATCGTGTTTTGAGACGTCTCAAAACACGCTTTGTAACCCCCCTGCGATCCACCATGCATCGTGTTTTGAGACGTCTCAAAACACGCTTTGTACCCCCCCTGCGATCCACCATGCATCGTGTTTTGAGACGTCTCAAAACACGCTTTGTACCCCCCCTGCGATCCACCATGCATCGTGTTTTGAGACGTCTCAAAACACGCTTTGTACCCCCCCTGCGATCCACCATGCATCGTGTTTTGAGACGTCTCAAAACACGCTTTGTACCCCCCCTGCGATCCACCATGCATCGTGTTTTGAGACGTCTCAAAACACGCTTTGTAACCCCCCTGCGATCCACCATGCATCGTGTTTTGAGACGTCTCAAAACACGCTTTGTACCCCCCCTGCGATCCACCATGCATCGTGTTTTGAGACGTCTCAAAACACGCTTTGTACCCCCCCTGCGATCCACCATACATCGTGTTTTGAGACGTCTCAAAACACGCTTTGTACCCCCCCTGCGATCCACCATGCATCGTGTTTTGAGACGTCTCAAAACACGCTTTGTACCCCCCCTGCGATCCACCATGCATCGTGTTTTGAGACGTCTCAAAACACGCTTTGTACCCCCCCTGCGATCCACCATGCATCGTGTTTTGAGACGTCTCAAAACACGCTTTGTACCCCCCCTGCGATCCACCATGCATCGTGTTTTGAGACGTCTCAAAACACGCTTTGTACCCCCCCTGCGATCCACCATGCATCGTGTTTTGAGACGTCTCAAAACACGCTTTGTACCCCCCCTGCGATCCACCATGCATCGTGTTTTGAGACGTCTCAAAACACGCTTTGTACCCCCCCTGCGATCCACCATGCATCGTGTTTTGAGACGTCTCAAAAAACGCTTTGTAACCCCCCTGCGATCCACCATGCATCGTGTTTTGAGACGTCTCAAAACACGCTTTGTACCCCCCCTGCGATCCACCATGCATCGTGTTTTGAGACGTCTCAAAACACGCTTTGTACCCCCCCTGCGATCCACCATGCATCGTGTTTTGAGACGTCTCAAAACACGCTTTGTACCCCCCCTGCGATCCACCATACATCGTGTTTTGAGACGTCTCAAAACACGCTTTGTACCCCCCCTGCGATCCACCATGCATCGTGTTTTGAGACGTCTCAAAACACGCTTTGTACCCCCCCTGCGATCCACCATGCATCGTGTTTTGAGACGTCTCAAAACACGCTTTGTACCCCCCCTGCGATCCACCATGCATCGTGTTTTGAGACGTCTCAAAACACGCTTTGTACCCCCCCTGCGATCCACCATGCATCGTGTTTTGAGACGTCTCAAAACACGCTTTGTACTCCCCCTGCGATCCACCATGCATCGTGTTTTGAGACGTCTCAAAACACGCTTTGTACCCCCCCTGCGATCCACCATGCATCGTGTTTTGAGACGTCTCAAAACACGCTTTGTACCCCCCCTGCGATCCACCATGCATCGTGTTTTGAGACGTCTCAAAACACGCTTTGTACCCCCCCTGCGATCCACCATGCATCGTGTTTTGAGACGTCTCAAAAAACGCTTTGTAACCCCCCTGCGATCCACCATGCATCGTGTTTTGAGACGTCTCAAAACACGCTTTGTACCCCCCCTGCGATCCACCATGCATCGTGTTTTGAGACGTCTCAAAACACGCTTTGTACCCCCCCTGCGATCCACCATGCATCGTGTTTTGAGACGTCTCAAAACACGCTTTGTACCCCCCCTGCGATCCACCATGCATCGTGTTTTGAGACGTCTCAAAACACGCTTTGTACCCCCCCTGCGATCCACCATACATCGTGTTTTGAGACGTCTCAAAACACGCTTTGTACCCCCCCTGCGATCCACCATGCATCGTGTTTTGAGACGTCTCAAAACACGCTTTGTACCCCCCCTGCGATCCACCATGCATCGTGTTTTGAGACGTCTCAAAACACGCTTTGTACCCCCCCTGCGATCCACCATACATCGTGTTTTGAGACGTCTCAAAACACGCTTTGTACCCCCCCTGCGATCCACCATGCATCGTGTTTTGAGACGTCTCAAAACACGCTTTGTACCCCCCCTGCGATCCACCATGCATCGTGTTTTGAGACGTCTCAAAACACGCTTTGTACCCCCCCTGCGATCCACCATGCATCGTGTTTTGAGACGTCTCAAAACACGCTTTGTACCCCCCCTGCGATCCACCATGCATCGTGTTTTGAGACGTCTCAAAACACGCTTTGTACCCCCCCTGCGATCCACCATACATCGTGTTTTGAGACGTCTCAAAACACGCTTTGTACCCCCCCTGCGATCCACCATGCATCGTGTTTTGAGACGTCTCAAAACACGCTTTGTACCCCCCCTGCGATCCACCATGCATCGTGTTTTGAGACGTCTCAAAACACGCTTTGTACCCCCCCTGCGATCCACCATGCATCGTGTTTTGAGACGTCTCAAAACACGCTTTGTACCCCCCCTGCGATCGACCATGCATCGAGCCATAGCCCCGAGCAAACACAACAAGGGGTCGGAGACAATGGCACTGAAGCATGCTTTTGATTCGACTCAAAAGCAAACACAAGAAGGGGTCGGAGACAATGGCACTGAAGCACGAGACGAGAAGACACTCAGGAGGGGAGAGTAAGGCTAGGGGCGCGCTGCGCTGCATGAGGGTGTTCACTGAGAGGCGAGCTTTGTAGCCCCCTTGTGATACAGTCACACAGAATGAGACAAACGTGCAGAAATAGACGCTTGTTTGGGGGAACTAGTGGCTAGGGCGCGCTGCATGAGGGTGGTCACTGAGAGGCGCGCTTTGTAGGCGTTACCTGGGAGGAAAGGCGTTCCCTGGGAGGGCAGGCGTTACCTGGGAGGGAAGGCGTTACCTGGGAGGGAAGGCGCTACCTGGGAGGGCAGGCGTTACCTGGGAGGGCAGGCGTTACCTGGGAGGGAAGGCGTTACCTGGGAGGGAAGGCGTTACCTGGGAGGGCAGGCGTTACCTGGGAGGGCAGGCGTTACCTGGGAGGGAAGGCGTTACCTGGGAGGGCAGGCGTTACCTGGGAGGGCAGGCGTTACCTGGGAGGGCAGGCGTTACCTGGGAGGGAAGGCGTTACCTGGGAGGGAAGGCGTTACCTGGGAGGGCAGGCGTTACCTGGGAGGGCAGGCGTTACCTGGGAGGGCAGGCGTTACCTGGGAGGGCAGGCGTTACCTGGGAGGGCAGGCGTTACCTGGGAGGGCAGGCGTTACCTGGGAGGGCAGGCGTTACCTGGGAGGGCAGGCGTTACCTGGGAGGGAAGGCGTTACCTGGGAGGGAAGGCGTTACCTGGGAGGGCAGGCGTTACCTGGGAGGGAAGGCGTTACCTGGGAGGGAAGGCGTTACCTGGGAGGGAAGGCGTTACCTGGGAGGGCAGGCGTTACCTGGGAGGGCAGGCGTTACCTGGGAGGGCAGGCGTTATCTGGGAGGGCAGGCGTTACCTGGGAGGGCAGGCGTTACCTGGGAGGGCAGGCGTTACCTGGGAGGGAAGGCGTTACCTGGGAGGGAAGGCGTTACCTGGGAGGGCAGGCGTTACCTGGGAGGGCAGGCGTTACCTGGGAGGGCAGGCGTTACCTGGGAGGGCAGGCGTTACCTGGGAGGGCAGGCGTTACCTGGGAGGGCAGGCGTTACCTGGGAGGGCAGGCGTTACCTGGGAGGGCAGGCGTTTCCTGGGAGGGCAGGCGTTACCTGGGAGGGAAGGCGTTACCTGGGAGGGAAGGCGTTACCTGGGAGGGCAGGCGTTACCTGGGAGGGAAGGCGTTACCTGGGAGGGAAGGCGTTACCTGGGAGGGCAGGCGTTACCTGGGAGGGCAGGCGTTACCTGGGAGGGCAGGCGTTACCTGGGAGGGCAGGCGTTACCTGGGAGGGCAGGCGTTACCTGGGAGGGAAGGCGTTACCTGGGAGGGCAGGCGTTACCTGGGAGGGCAGGCCTGGAGGCTTGTTGATAACGAGGATGTGCTCATCCTGGCAGGCAGGGGAAGGGGGGAGGTAAGGGGAAGGGGAAGGGGAAGGGGAAGGGGAAGGGGAAGGGGAAGGGGATGGGGAAGGGGTTGGGTTTTGAAAATTCTCGAAACTAACCGACAAAGATATTATGTGCTCATGCTGCCAGGGGAAGGGAGGGAGGGAGGGGGGTGAATGGCATGTTCGCACAATGGAATGATGTGAGATGAGATGAATCCAGCGTTAACCCCCCCTCCTACAGCTTCCTACCTACCTTGTATAGAACACACTTCTGCAGCATTTTGACATCCTCTGGTTGAATGCCACGTGGCAAGGAGGAAAAAGAAGAGGATGGAGCGGCAGAGGAGACAGACGAGGCAACAGCCCGAGTTGCAGCACTTGCTTCAAAATCGGTGTGCAATTGGACAGACGAAGGGATGCACAGGATGGTTCCTGGAAGGAGCAGTTGGCTGGCTGATACCTGCCAAACCAACACATCCCATCACAGCACACCGCATCCCATCACAGCACATCGCATCCCATACCATTCCATGCCATGTCATCTCACGCCATGCCATGCCACTCCATTCCATGCCATGTTATCCCACGCCATGCCATGCCACACCATTCCATGCCATGACAGGTGCACCATGGCGTTTCAAGGCTTGCCTATGCACAGAGCCAGGCAGCAAGCCATGAGGAACATCCCATTTGATGGCACATCATCACATCATCACATCATCACATCATCACATCATCACAATCCACACAAAAACAAGACATCCGTTGCACACGAGGTGCAGAGGAAACTGCTGGCACATTGAACCACCATCGCCGCCAGCAGAACGGATCACGTTGTTTCCGAAGTGCCTCGAATATGGGAATACTAGAAATTGACAGGATCTTGTCAACACAGGAGGATTCTCTAGCTTTCCTCACACGAGCACAACTTTTCATTCCTAGGCAAGACATCTTGCAAGTTGCGCGGCACATTACTCCACATATCTGTGACCCCTCTTATACTGCAACCATTCGGTTCAGTCACGTCTACATACAGCAACGCACCCGCGATAGCTTGTTGAAACGGGCGTGTGAGGGACCTGTGGTGCTGGGCGAAAGGGATGAGTCTGGTGGACTAAGGGCTCGCACCTGGTGGGTGGGTGGTACAGGTGACCGCGGTGAAAGGCGTGAGAGACAGGCAGTGAAGGGGTGATTACTGAGTTGACTAAACGGGCGTGTGAGGGACCCTTGGTGCTGGGCGGAAGGGATGAGTCTCCCGGGCTAAAGGCTCGCACCTGGTGGGTGGGGTGGTACAGGTGACAGAGGTGAAAGGCGTGACAGACAGGCAGTGAAAGGGAGGACGATGATGACAACGACGACAACAATGAGATGACTAAGGCAATGGTGGTGACTATGAAGATGATGATGATAATGATCTTCATAGTCACCATTGCCTATTATGATCATTATCATCATCGTCTTTGTCACCAACATGAAAATTACTTGAGAATTCAAAAAAATGCTATTCTAAAAAAAAAAAAAAAAGATGCCTTCTTCCCACTCACCAGTCTCTTTCGGAACAGCTTATTGACAAGGCTGGTTGGCATGTGCGGGCAGCACACTGCCACCCACTTGCGTGCACTCACAACCCCCGCGTCCGCCCCTTTGGCGTCTACACCACCTTCCTCATCATCTTCCCTTATAATGCCTGCTCTGTAACGCACTCCCCTGCTCCTACCTTCCTCCCTCACCCCTCCTCCGTCCCTGACTCTTCCCCCCACAGCAGTTCCCTGAACGGGAAGCAGAGAGGGGAAGTGAACCGGTGCCAGCTGTCGCCACCGGACTGAACCATTCCCTGTGTCGTCTGCTAGCGAGCTTCGCTGCTGCTCATGCCCTTGCTGCTGCTGCTGCTGCTGCTGCTGCTGCTTTTGCCGCGTGGGTTCATACCCCGGTTGCTGCTTCTGCTGCTGAACGCCCCCGTGGCTCTTCTGTTTCAACTTGACCCTGCCGTGTCTCGCAACCGTCTGCTCCTCCTCGACCCCACGAATTCTCTTTCTCCCAGCGCTCTGATCCTCCATGTCGCGACCCCTCTTTCCCCTGAATGTCTCTTTTCTACCAGAAGTCTCAGCTCTCTGCTCACTCCCGACATTCTCCTCCACGTCATAATTCCTCTTTCTCCCAACACCCTGTTTCTTCACGTCCGGAGCCCTCTTTCTCCTGAACGTCTCTTTTCTACCAGGCGCCTCAATTCCCTTCTCATTCCCAATCTTCTCCTCCTCGTCATAGGTCCTCTTTCTCCCAACGCTCTGATCCCCAACGTCGCGACTCCTCTTTCCCCTGAATGTCTCTTTTCTACCACGCGTCTCAGTTCGCTGCTCATTCCCGATCCTCTCCGCACGCCTGCTTGTCTTGGTAGCGTCGCCACTAACTCGCCGGCCAAACTGACGGCCGTTCTGGCGGTCGTTCTGGCGGCTGTTTTGACGGTCGTTCGGACGGCTACGTTGACGGCCGGAGGTGTTCGACTGTCTTCGCGATGAGGAGGAAAACTGAGCGGCAGAGATTTGGGGGAACCGGAACGGACGCGATAAGGCGGAGGGGGAGGTGGTGAGAGGGATGGCTGCAGACTGCACATTTGGGATACAAGCAGGGAATGTTCGAGAGCAGGAGAGATCGGACCGAAATGATCGCGAGCAGGAGAGATCGGACCGAAATGATCGCGTTTGCAAGCAGTGAAGTCCAGACAGTCTCTCAGAAATCGATTGAGGTCCCGACGGAGATGAAATTAACCGGGAGGGAACAGTATGGAGCGAACTTGTGTACGCGTTTGTAGCGGGGACTGCAGCGACTTCGTTAAGATCGACAACCAGCGAGTGCGAATGCGGAGGATTCGAGGTGTGTGATGAGTGGTGCTGGGAAGATGGAAACGAGACATCCAATGAGTGCAGATACGAGCGAATCGAACAGCCCAGGGATGATGTTCTACTGCAGGATAGACGCCGCAAAGAATGGACGCTTCGACTTAGAGCGCCAGCAGCCATTGCTGCTCAGCCGCGCCTGACAGTTCCTCGCATTCGTCTGGGAAGTGCCGCCGAGTCGCCGACTCAATGGACAACAGACGGGCTTTGCTGATGAAAGTCTGCTGCTGAGGCGAACATCTTGGGTTCTTCGATTTTCCACTTTATGGAACAAATGAAGGAATCCGAGCGAGTTCGTTACAGGCTACGGTTTTCGGCTTTATCAGTCTGAAGCACATTCCTCCCCCATATATTTATACACCAGACAGAAAATAACAATTTCAACTAGCACACTAAACGAATAGCATCAGCACACATTGTTTTTAACCAACAGAGCCCTCTAGCTTGAGGCTCATGAGCTGGTTGACCTCAGAGGCAAACTCCAGAGGCAGCTCGTTGAACACCTCACGGCAGAAGCCGCTGATGAGCATGCCCACTGCCTTCTCGGCGTCGATTCCTCTTTGTTGGAAGTAGAAGAGCTGATCCTCCCCAATCTTAGACGTGGATGCTTCATGCTCCACTCGAGCCGTCGGATCCTTCACCTGCATTGATCGAAAGGCGTTCAGGAACATTCAAGGGCAACCGAGAACATTAACATTGATTTAAGAAACACAAACACTCTGTACCACTATGAACAGCCACACTTCCACCAGCACATGCACATCCTCCAATAGCAGATGCACTCCAAATTATCCACAGACGACATTACTTTGTAACACTCACCTGGATGTAAGGGTACGTGTTAGCGCCAGCGTTATCCCCAATGAGCATGGAGTCTCACTGAGGGTAGTTGCGCGCTCCATGTGCCGTGGGCTGCACCTGCACCAGGTGACCCTTGAGTCTACTCAAAGGTCTCTCACCTGGATGTAAGGGTATGTGTTAGCGCCGGCGTTATCCCCAATAAGCATGGAGTCTCACTGAGAGTAGTTGCGCGCTCCATGTGCCGTGGGCTGCACCTGCACCAGGTGACCCTTGAGTCTACTCAAAGGTCTCTCACCTGGATGTAAGGGTATGTGTTAGCGCCGGCGTTATCCCCAATAAGCATGGAGTCGCACTGAGAGTAGTTGCGCGCTCCATGTGCTGTGGGCTGCACCTGCACCAGCCCCCGGTAGCAGTTGAGCGACTGCCCTGCTGAGATGCCCTTGGATACAATGCGGCTGCGCGTGTTCTTCCCCACGTGGATCATCTGGTGTAAGGGGGGGAGGAGGGGATTGAAAGAAACACCATGAGAGACAAGCAGTTGAGCGACTGCCCGGCTGAGATGCCCTTGGATACAATGCGGCTGCGCGTGTTCTTCCCGCCATGGATCATCTGGTTATCAGGGTGCCGAGAGGAAGAGAGGATTGGGAGGAGGAGCATGAGACATAGTGGAGCAAGAACACCGGTGAAGCGTGATTGCCCTCGAATACATGCGGCTGCAAGTGTTTGTCTCCAAGTGAATCCTCTGGAGATTTGAATGTGGAAGGAAAGAGGGCACTGGACATAAGACGAGGATTACTTAGTGGTCTAGACAGGTAGCTGGGCTGGAATGATAGACATGCCTCCCTCTCAGCAAGTCGCCCTTCGACCATCATGTGCCTGGACTAAACGCCCTGGAAACATTCTGCCCCTAGGCTGCACACCCTCGGACCATCATGAACATGGGATTAATCGTCCTTGAGTCCAGCAGCAGCGGCCTCACACAAACAGTTCTACTTTCTCGCTTCTACTCCCTCGCCTACCACACCCACATCCCACCACGCCCCACGACCCACAGACCCTGGTACCCTCCCCACAATTCGGTGCCCTGTCAAACTGCTGCTTGCTGCGCGCTACCCACCAACCGGCTCGCAGTTCACCCGGCATGATGCCCCCTACGTCCCCTTGCTGCTGCTGCTGCTTCTTGTCGATAAGCCCCCACAGAATAGAGCTCGCACTAAATCAGCCTGCTACTAAAGCTGCCAGTCGTTCAAGCAAACGGCCCGCATGTCGCCGTGCTCACCTTGGTGCCGGTGTCGGCCTGCTGCTTGTTGTTGGTGAGCGCCACGGAGTAGAACTCGCCGGAGCTGTTGTCGCCCTTGAGCACCACAGAGGGGTACTTCCACGTGATGGCGGACCCCGTCTCCACCTGAGAAAACAGGAAAAGGAGCATGTACGCGTTAGAGAGTCAGCGAGGGTACTTGCACGGCAGTTAGCACTGGCAGCAGGTGGGAACCTAGACCGAAGCCGAGAAAGAGCGAGCAAAGAGGAAAGCGTGTGTATGTGGTGGGGAAGAGGAGGGGGGGGGGGGGGGGGAAGGGGGAGGAGGGGGGGGAGAACGTGGGGGTGGGGTTGCGAAAGTGAGACGAAGGTGAAAAAGGGAGGGACGGGGTTGGACTTCGGAGAACTACAAGAATCATAAAAGCTCTCTATGGGATGACCCACAAACGCGTACCTGCGTCCAGGAGATCTTGGAGTTCTTGCCCTCGCACAGCCCGCGCTTGGTGACGAAGTTGTAGATCCCGCCCACGCCGTCCTTGTCGCCCGCGTACCAGTTCTGCACCGTCGAGTACTTGATCTCCGCGCCCTCGCCCGTCCACAGCTCCACCACCGCCGCGTGCAGCTGATTCTTATCGTACGAAGGCGCCGTGCACCCCTCCAGGTAGCTCACATAGCTCCGGTCATCCGCCACGATTAGGGTACGCTCAAATTGACCGGTTTCCATGGCGTTGATACGGAAGTACGTGCTGAGCTCCATGGGACTGATCGTGTCTTTAGGAATGTAGCAGAAACTCCCGTCGCTGAAAACGGCGGAGTTGAGAGCGGCGTAGTAGTTATCCGCGACGGGTACGACCTTCCCCAGATACTTCCGGACGAGGTCCGGGTACTCCCGGACGGCCTCGGAGATGGAGCAGAAGATGACGCCGGCTTTCGCGAGCTCTTCGCGAAAGGTCGTCGCGATGGAGACGGAGTCGAAGACGACATCGACGGCGACGTTCGCGAGGCGCTTCTGCTCCGAGATGGAGATGCCGAGCTTGTCGAAGGTCGCCAGCAGCTCCGGGTCGACCTCGTCCAGCGACGCCTTGGTCTCCTTCTGCTTCGGCTCCGAGTAGTAAATCACGTCCTGGTGTGCGTGGGGAAAGCGGGGGGTGCGGGGAAAGGAGGATGTGGAGGACGAGGAAAAGAACAGGTAAATGGGGCGAACGTGACAGCAGCTCCGGGTCGACCTCGTCGAGCAACGCCTTGGTCTCCTTCTGTTTCGGCTCCGAGTAGTAAATCACGTCCTGGGAGGGAAACGTGGGGGAGAGCACTGATGAGGTGCCTCAAGAACGCCGCGAGCAGCTCCGGGTCTCCGAGATGGAGATGCCGAGCTTGTCGAACGTCGCGAGCAGCTCCGGGTCGACCTCGTCGAGCGACGCCTTGGTTTCCTTCTGCTTCGGCTCCGAGAAGTAAATCACGTCCTGGTGAAGGTGCGCGGGAAAGGTGGGGGAGGGAACGGTGGGGGAAGGAACGGTGGAGGGGGGCATTACTGAGGCGTCTCAAGAACGTCGCCAGCAGCTTCGGGTCCACCTCGTCTCGTCTCCTTGTGCTTCTGCTCCGAATAGTAATCACGTGCTGGTGCGTGTGGTGTCGTCGATGACGCGGATGGAAGGGGGAAGGGAGGCGAAGGGTTGGGTGTGGGGAAAGTTGGGGATGTTAGGGATGTGGAGGAGGGGGAACGGAGGGGGTAAAGGGAGCAAATGTGATGGGGCTGGGAGCTCGGGTCTACTTGACCTCCGCAATAGTGGAAAATGGACGGAGAATTGATTGTTTTGTATTCATCTCTACATCTGTTTCTCTTTTTTCTTTTATTGCCGTTTCTGTCCAATGCTTTTCCCTTTAATTGCTGAAAATCTCATGCTTGTATTCACTACCTTCCACAGCAGTGTCCTCTTCATACCTGGAAGTCAATCTTAGGGTAGCGATTGTCCGACCACTCAGGTTCGGTCATCTTCTGCCATTGTCGGAACGCACTCAAACGGAACTCCAGCATCCACTCCGGCTCCCTCTTCTTCGCCGAAATCAGCCTCACTGTCTCCTCCGTCAATCCCTTGGGAATCTGGACATTCTCGATGTTCGACACGAACCCGTACTTGTAATCACGCTGCAGAAACTGCTGAATGGTATCGTCGCTTGAGGATTTCTTTTCAGGAGCTGTGAGAGCAGCGCCTTCTGGTGCGGCTTCGCAGCGAGGGGTGGTTCGCCGAAGCTGCGGCTGGCTCGCACGTGCAGCTTGACGAGTTTTCGCCACGAGCTTGCTACCAAGAGCGGGGCTAGCGGCGAACTTAAGCGACGCGGAAGAAGCAGGAAGCCTGTGCTCGACCTTGGGGTTCGCGAGCGCGACAGGCGCTGGGGCTCTGTGAGCTAGACATTCCATGGCTTATCCTATCAGCTTCCTCTCGCTTAACAAAAATAACTGCAGTCTCGCACCAATAAAATCCCCTGCTCGCAACACTCAGGCAAACAAATCCAAAGCAGCAGCACGAAGGATGAAAAGACACTGCTGCAAGCTAAGAACCGCGATGAGGATCACCGTGTGGAATTGCCAGCAGATATGCTTGCAAGGGGAGGTGGTAATTGTGGTGAGGTGATGGTGCATGCAGGCGAAGCCCCAGAGAATTCTCTGAAGGTTGCTTGGTTGGGAAGGCTCGCGTTCGCTGAAGCGACTAAGCCTCACACCCGTTAGACCTGACAGTTTTGGGTGCATTTTGCGCACTTTGACTGAAAGGACAGATTTCTGTGGGAATCGTCAAGTCGATCCACCCGGTTGCAAAACGTACAAGGTCGTGATCCGCTAGACACGAACTGATTGGACACGCCTTGAAGTGCCTCGGTTAGGCTCAAGGCTCGGATAGGAGCCTCTTGAGAGTTTGGTGCAGGTTCGGTAGGCTCTGGAATCAATCAGATTGGCCGCCAAGGTTCACGCACATTCCCCGTGCTGGTCGTGGTTCGTGACCCTGGTGAGCAGTCCGTGCCATGTGGCGGATTACAGAGGCACACCGTCTTCACACTCGCAATCTCGGGAAGCTATCGAAACAGCGGATGATGACGTGGTGTATGCCTGTGGGATTCCTCCCTCGGTCTTGAAGTCACATTGTAAAAGGAAATACACCACACCATGCCCTGCTTATGAGGAGTACGTATTAGGTACACTGCTATGTGTGTTTCTTCTCTATTAAACATGAGCATTCTCTATTCAACATGAGCATCTAATGTGATATCTGTAAAATTAGTTTAAACATTTATTAATATGCAGAATCCAGATGGAACGGGGAGTGGGTAGAGGGCGGGGAGGGGGAGGGGGTGGGGAGGAGGAAGTTGTCATATCGATGTACTCAATAGGGAAAATTATGAGAATTTACTTTAAATGAGGTGCTTTCCTTATTTAAGTCCATGTTTTCTTCCTAAAAAAACAAATTTTGTGCGGATGTAATTTTAGAAGATTAAACATTGCTATTTCAAAAGTACCTTATGTCAGATTACAATTGTATCTCTAGGCTACAGTAGGATCACTCCTTAGTGAGTACAACACTTTAGGGTTAGGTTTCCCCTACTTGTACTCACCTCTTGCCTAGTTCAATCATTCATTCATAGTTCTATTCTTGACATGTTATCAGAGCAGGAACCGTTCCTCCATGGGCCCACCGTTTCGCCTAGTAGTAGCGTCACGCCCTATACAGTAGCCAGCGCGCTGGCGCCCCTAGCTCTCAGTGTCGCGACCCTTGCAGCCCGTGCGCTGCCCCTGCGACCGCGCTGCCCCTGCGGCCGTGCTCGCCCCTATGACCGAGCTGCCCCTGCAGCCGTGCTCGCCCCTGCTACCGTGCTGCCCCTGCAGCCGCGCCTGCCCCTGTGGCCCGCGCGCTGCCCCTGCAGCCCGTACGTCGCTCCTGCAGCCCGTACGTCGCCCCTGCAGCCCGTACGTCGCCCCTGCAGCCCGTTCACGCTGCCCCTGCAGCCCGTTCACGCTGCCCCTGCAGCCCGTTCACGCTGCCCCTGCAGCCCGTTCACGCTGCCCCTGCAGCCCGTACACGCTACCCCTGCAGCCCGCGCGCAGACCTACCGAGCCGCGCGTCGCCTATGCAGCCCGTTCGCACGGCCCCTGCAGCCCGCGCGTCGCCCCTGGAGCTTGCGCGCCGCCTCTGCAGCCCGTTCGCGCTGCCCCTACAGCTCGCGCGCGGACCTGCTAAGCCGAGCTTCGCGCTCTGCTGCAGCCCGCGCGTTGCGCCCTAAGGCAGCCCGTCGCGTCGCGCTCTGCTGCCCCTCGCGTCACGCACTGCTGCAGCCTGCGCTAGCGCCCTGCCCTGCACCCGCGCCCTGCCCTGCGCCAGCGCCCTGCCCTGCGCCAGCGCCCTGCTATACCCTAAATATAATTAAATTGCTTATATATACAAAAAGGGGCCCTAGGTGCTTCTGCACTAGGAGCTACTGCCTACTACTGCCCTGCTATGGCCGCGCGCTGCCCTGCTGCTGTTACTACTGCTGCTGCTGCTACTCGTGCTACTGGGAGTGGTGGAGGTGCTGCTAGGAGTGCAGAAGGTGTTGCTGGCGCTGTAGGAGCTGGAGGTGCTGGACCTACTCCTGACCGTCACTGCGTCTGCACAGGTGGCTGAGTTAGGTCAGGAAGCTGCGTCAAGTCGAGCATCTACGTCAGGGCAGTTAGCTGCGTCTTGCTCGTGCAGAGTACTCACGCACGAGACTCAGCTCTGGCACCACCGTCTTGGTCACCCCTCCCTGCAGCGTCTACGCCGCATGTGTTAAAATAGTAGCTTGATAGGTAGGTAAAAAGTAGGACGGCCTAGGCTTAGTAGCCTAGGCCAACTAGATCGAGTAGTTCGTGCCAAGGTTTTGAGAGTCGAGTGAGTTGGAAGAGGAGTTGGGGAGAATGATGCTTCACTATAGTTTCGAAGTACATATAGCAAAGGAAACAAGTGAAGAGGTGCACCACCTACAGATTTAAATAACTACACTAACTACAGCTACAGGCAGTTACAAATATAGGTTTTGACACTCCCCCATAACTGCCTGCAGCAGGAGTATGTGCAGAATACAACCTGCAGGTGTACACATGCAAAACAATAAAAAGCAAGCAACAGCAGGTAATGCAGGCGGGCTGACACTAGGTGGTCACCCCCTCCATCTCCTCACCCTCCTCCTTCCCCACCCCCACACTGCTGCAGGAGCAGCAGAGAAGGGGGGAAGAGAGGAGAGATGGAGGGACGGCTGCGTGTTGCCTCACACCCGCCACCCCGGTACCACTCCCCCTGCTCCCCCACACCCTCACACCCTCCCCCCCCAGCGGCAGCTGCAGCGGTGGGACTGAAAGGAGGAGGAGGGGAAGGGAAAGAGTCGACCCAACACTCCAACACCCGCCACCCCCATACCCTCCTCCCCACGGCTGCAGGGAGACAAAGGAGGAGGGGGTGGGCGGGAAGAAAGCCGCAGAGCGGCTAAACGGTGTCGGCGCTGATAGGTCAGGGGCGGCTTCAGGGAGAGGAGGGGCGGAAAGGCCCGTCGCGTGCCACGGGCCGCACGACGGGTAATTTTAAGTGAAAGGGCCCGATTGTGTGCCTCGGGGCGCACGACGAGCAGGGCACCGTCGCGTGCCACGGGGCGCACGACGGGCAGGTTAAGGGCACCGTCGCGTGCCACGGGGCACGCGATGGGCAGAGAAGGCGTCACACGCCAACCGGGGGCGGGACAAGGAAAAATCGCCACGCGCCACCCCGGTACCACCCCCCCTGCTCCCCCACACCCTCACACCCTCCCCCCCCAGCGGCAGCTGCAACGGTGGGACTGAAAGGAGGAGGAGGGGAAGGGAAAGAGTCGACCCAACACTCCAACACCCGCCACCCCCATACCCTCCTCCCCACGGCTGCAGGGAGACAAAGGAGGAGGGGGTGGGCGGGAAGAAAGCCGCAGAGCGGCTAAACGGTGTCGGCGCTGATAGGTCAGGGGCGGCTTCAGGGAGAGCAGGGGCGGAAAGGCCCGTCGCGTGCCACGGGCCGCACGACGGGTAATTTTAAGTGAAAGGGCCCGATCGTGTGCCTCGGGGCGCACGACGAGCAGGGCACCGTCGCGTGCCACGGGGCGCACGACGGGCAGGTTAAGGGCACCGTCGCGTGCCACGGGGCGCGCGATGGGCAGAGAAGGCGTCACACGCCAACCGGGGGCGGGACAAGGAAAAATCGCCACGCGCCACCCCGGTACCACTCCCCCTGCTCCCCCACACCCTCACACCCTCCCCCCCCAGCGGCAGCTGCAACGGTGGGACTGAAAGGAGGAGGAGGGGAAGGGAAAGAGTCGACCCAACACTCCAACACCCGCCACCCCCATACCCTCCTCCCCACGGCTGCAGGGAGACAAAGGAGGAGGGGGTGGGCGGGAAGAAAGCCGCAGAGCGGCTAAACGGTGTCGGCGCTGATAGGTCAGGGGCGGCTTCAGGGCGGCTTCAGGGGCGGCTTCACTCCCGGCTCCTGGTCTCTGGCCTCCCTGAGACCCTGCCCCCCCTCCCGCGCTCACTTGGGCTGCCGTGCCTTCCTTGTGTCGAGGGGCGGCAGCGCACCGCTCCTCACTCCTCCGAGTTTCCTCCGACCACTGCTCCTCTACAGACTCTCCACCTGGACGTGTGGGGCCCGGCCCCCGTTGGTGGGACGGACCAGGAGCGCTACTTCCTGCTGGTTGTTGACGACTACACACGCTACACCACAGTCTTCCCCTTGCGTCGTAAGGCGGACGTCTGGATCCGTGCTACTCGTCTCCAGCTACACGAGCGCTTTCAGCAGGACTTCCAAGTCCTGCGTCTGCACTCTGACAGGGGCGGTGAGTCCTCTTCTGGCGTCCTTGAGACGTTCTGCCAGGATGAGGGCATCGCCCAGTCGTTCACCCTCCCGGCCTCTCCGCATCAAAATGGGATCGCTGAGTGTCGCATTGGCCTGATCATGGAGGTTGCTCATACCTCCATGATCCATGCGGGTGCTCCCCATTTCCTGTCGTCGTTTGCGGTCCGATATGCCGCGCATCAGCTCAACCTCTGGCCGCGTGTCTCTACTCTAGAGACCTTGCCCACACTCCGTTGGACGGGACAGCCTGGTGATGCGTCGTCGTTTCAGGTTTGGGGCGCCCTCTCCCTTGTTCGCGATACCAAAGCGAGCAAGCTCTCTCATCGCACTCTCCGCTGTGTCTTCTTGGGCTTCCCCACCGACGTTCCACCCTGGCAGTTCTACCACCCTGTCTCGCGTCGTGTTCTGTCCTCTCAAGACGTCACCTTCGTTGAGTCGGTCTGTTACTACCGACTTCACCCGCACGCGTCCCACCCGGTCCCCCTTGCACCCCTCTTCCTGGTACTAGTCCCCCCCCGGTAGACCCCCTCCCCCCACA